GATAACCAAACGCTTTACAAAATGTTACGAAACAAAGTCAATCGTTCCACGAGCGCGAAGCGCGAGTGTTTTCATACATTGTTTTCGAGTGTTTGGATATCAGGGTGAGACACGAGCTCGAGTTGTTTATATGGCTTCTCAAATGAATCGAGACGTAACAGAATGTTTTCTTTTGCTGATTTGAATAGTATACCATGCAAGCATAACGTAATTAGGAATTCTATTCAAGTAATTTTGCATGCGTAATTAAGATATTTGATGAAAACACTAGTGACTTTCATCAAGTTTCACCGGGTTATCCAAATGGCATCTTGTGATCAAATAGGTGATTATCATTGGCTGAACTGCTCATGAATTATTACCATTAATAATTCATGAGCAATTCAGCCAATGATCGCTGTCTTGCTTGATGACGACACTTCAAAGAAACTGTTTTCACGTTTGCGAAATTTCCTGGTCAAACACATTTACTGTTGTTGAGTTGAAGTTCTGAAATGGAATCACCGGTTTACACAACTCATCTGGGAGAGTATCCTTTACAACCGACCGAAACACGTATCACATAGCTATTTTGGTGAAATAGGGATGATTTTGGCTTTTTACGCTTCCCTCCATCCGCAATTTCGAAGCGAAAATTGCCTGATTCTCAGGCTGGTATGTTACTCGAAGACGGGACTGTATAGGTTTATGTTGTAGTCGATATCACAAATGCCGGTATACCACCATCAGAATACCGGTAAATATCGGCATTTTTAACGTGTTTTTTAAATTAAGAAGGGAAACTGAACTGTGCGTGAGTATTAACTTTGGTTTCTAAACGTGATTATAGGCAAATTTTGACGTTGAAATAGCGTTTCAATCCGGTATCATGCACGAAGCAAAATACCGAAATGTCGGTATTTTTGAATTATGAATATCGCCATTACCGGTATCTAAACAAGTATCGGTATACAGGATATATCCAGTATGCTGATTCTCTCTAGTGCTGTATTTGGATGGGCTACAAACATATGCTGTTTTTTGCCCATTCTTAATATTCCATATGATAGTTGTCTGTTACATTTCCCCTCACACGACCTTTGGCGATCAAGCAGTTTTTCAGCTTGTCCGGTGTGGAGACACTCAGCGAATTTTTTTTGTACTCTTTAGGGAAAATCTTTCTTCCATCTGGTGGGAACAACTTGACCTTTTTGAAACAACCAATTGTGAAAATAAAGTGGTCACTTGATCCTGTTTTATCTACGAATATAAATCGGTCTTGGAGTTTCAAAAGTAGAGCCAGTGGCAAAGATGAAATACTTGGCGAAGTATCTCGTACTGGTGATATTACTATAGTAACCAGGTTATATGAGATTGATATAGAAAAACCAGCAACATTGGTTTTGAAGAACATTGATGAGAGATATAGTGGAGCATACAAGTTTACTCTTTACCCAGGATTACCTGGCCCCAGTATATCTGAAGTTGTCGTTTTTATTGCACGTAAGTTTTCATTAATCCTGTAAATTTCATGCAGGTTTTCTTAAAATTCTGGTATAATCTTTTGTATCAGAACATGGCCTAGTCATCGAGACGACATCTATTATCATTATCCATTCAAACATTATTGTAGTTCCCGATTGGTAAAAAATCCCCAGCAAGCTGCCCCATTCACTGTTCGGAGTACTCTGGATTTCGAGAACACTAATGGAATGGAACAGAAGACAGTCACATAACTTCTCTGAATTGTTCTGACTTCTAACTACCCCGATTTTCAAGTAGGGTCAGCCAGAACAGAACACATGACACTGCCCATTTTCACGTGGTTAGAAACAGAGGGGACAGATTTTGTGTATCCAATACACACTGCATAGAGTGTTATCTTGAAGGGTTGACCGCTATATATCGGCATATACTTATTATATAGGCCTATGCTATTTGAACGCCAGAGTTGGGCAAAATCAACGAGTAAAAACGTTGCAAAAACATACTTAGATATACAAATAACAGCAAATCATTATACGCTTCATTATGCCCCCATCCGGAAATAAAATTGAAATCATGCCCCTCCCCCCCCAAACCCACAAAATTTGTTTTCTTTCTGATTTTAATCATTTTTCGCCAAAGCTACAATTGACCCTGGTTTACTTTAAAACGGCGATGCCTTTTTGTATAAACTATTAGTCGGAGTTCATTTATAGCTAGAAAGTTGATTTTCTGTGTTTACTTTAAAGTTTTAAGAAATAATGGTTCAATCTAATATTGTTCACGGTCTAGAAGAACGTATTTTATCAGTTTTTCCAGGGCTGCGACCAGAAACTAGCCCAAAAACATTCCCTCTGCTAAATTTTTCAGCAGTGCCCCCCCCCCCCCCCCCCCCCCCCCCC